AAGTGGTCATTGGCTCGCTCTATTCCAAGGTGCCGGGAAGACGCCGGGAAGACGGACCGACTGTTTTTTTCCATGTCACGGTGCTCTTCCTCCACAGATCGAGCCACACCAGTGCGCGACGATCTGATCCGATGGTCGAGATGTCCATAGCATGGGCACCATGGAGTGGGACTTGGGGTGACGGCTCCTGGAGCTCTTGAGACCCCTGACACCACCCCCGATGGTGCCATCGGTGGTGTTTTGGGGGACTGATGCAATCTGATCTCTAATGCCCGTGCACTCAGTGCACGCAGTTGGACGTCAGCCTATACGAGCCTTCTTGGCCATTTTCTTCCATCCTCAAATCCATCCTCAGACATGGAACATGGACCATCATGGACCATCATGGACCATTGAGCAGAGTCCAGTCGGACGGAGTCTCACTCGGATCCTGCAGCACAGTACGTGGTGGTTGGTTCCATGAGTCTTCCAAAGGTCCATGTTGAGGTTCCATGTGCTAGCTGCTAGCTAGCCCAGGAGGGAGCGATTCGGAGCTACAGGGAGTTCCCCAACCCCTTACTAGTGTGGGTCCCTTCCAGGGTGTCCTTGATCTTCACCCTTTGCGGATCGCTTTGCGACGAAGCCCTCCGAGAAGAACAGAGCGCGCCAGACGAACCACGCCGGCGAGACGGGAAGCGCCGCGCGATTCGATTCGATCCGAACCAGGAGGTGCTCCTGCCCTTGGATTTGCGCTTCCATCGCTCGGAGATGACCTTGGTTGCCTCGCAGGCGCGGAGCACGCGCGGACGCCAGGCACGGGCAGGCAGGTGCACGTTGGATCGGCGGTTTTTGGTTCTTTGGGAGGACTATCTACCAGCACCCGCCAGGTCAGCCATGTCCAGGTTTGCACCTGATGTCAGGTGCCGATGGGTGCAGCATCAATCATCCAACCAGCCATCCAACCTGACCGGTGCTGGTGTGCGTCGAATCATAATCATTCCATCAGCCTAACCTGACCGGTGCTGGTTTGCTTCGGAACCGCCCTGAGCTCTCTAGACATGTGTCGTCTTGTCACCGCCCGTCGTGCCGCGCCATCGCCTCGCCGTCGAGGTGAGTCGCGTGAGTGGAGCCCTCTCCACGCGCTGGAGCAAGCAGCGGAGGGCTGAGCTGGCGTGGGAGATGCTTCGACACCTGGTCAGATACTTCGAAATTTTCCACCGGCCATGTCCTCTATACAATGGGGAGGGGGTTAGGTCATGTTAGGTCCTCATTTTCCATATTTTGTTTAAATGACCTCTACCCCTTGCGGGGGTACTTCGGTGTTTCCTGAAGACCTCGTGATGTTTTTTTGGGTTGGCAGATGTTGGCAGCACATGAAGGTCGGTCAGGCAGCAAGTTCGAGACCCAAATCTTCAACTATCCGAAATTGGAAGTCTTTAATTTAAGTGAAGAGTTTGAAAGGCGTCGAATTACGGATTGGTTCTTGGCTTTGGGTGTGATGCTTGGAACAACGTCGGGTTTTGCACGGTTTCGCTTGGATGCTATGTTTCTTTCCGGGCTTCCTGTTGAGCTTGGGCGGGGTTCCATCCAGCGACAAGCACTGTGTTTTTTTCTAGAGCTTTTTGCTTGTGGCGCCTGTTCGGTACTTGTGTCTGAATTTGCGACCGAAATCCTTGAATCATAAGGGTGCGGCCCAATGGAGATCAATGGAGATCCCGAAGAAGCTCAGCGCAGGGTAGTCTGCAGGTTCAATTTGATCAATTGATCGGCAGTCCTATGGCAGTCCCATGGAGCGTCGGGGTTTGTGACTCCTCTTGGATATGTCCGACCAGAGGATCCGGTCCTCAGCTCGTTTTGCTCATCTGAGGAGAGCTGCATCCGGAGGCGCACGACGGCTGGGATCGACTGAGCCTCCCAAGAGGTGACCTAAGGCTCCAAATCCTCAAGATCCCTCAAGCAAAGACCTGGCAGTGAGGGTGCTGGTAAGTATTTTTTTGTGTTGTTCGTTATTTTTTTTTGGGGAAGATCTTAGTAGGAAATTCATCCGTCCTGAAGAAGAGAGTGTCCTTTTCTTGAGCTTCTCCGGATGTTGCCGCTTGGATCACCAGTTGACATCAATTGACATCAGTCCTGGCTTCGCCCGATCCGGCCGCCTGGCGCTAGGCCTGGATCCCAAGCCGCAAGACCTCGGTCCTGGAGGCCCCGGAGGTCTACCGACCCCTGGCGGACCACGCGCGCGCGCGCGCGCGCGAGCGGAGTTCGCGTGGTTTGACCTACGAGGCGAAGGAACTGGAGGCTGGAGGAAAGTGGAGCTCGAAATGAACATAAATGAACAGAAGGCCTGGAACTTTGGCCGCGGATGCATGCTGGCCCCAAAAATAAGTTCTGGTTGTTTTCCATTTGCTTTGTCTCTCGGACATGGCAAGGGATCAAATTGTGATATTGAAGTGGATGCACAATGCACAGGAGTATAAACAATTCGGAGTTGCAAACGGAAGTCACTGTGGATGGTAGATCCCATGGGAAGACTTTCCCCAATTGTTTTTTGGTGGGGGGAACTTTCCCATACCTGGACCTACCAACTCAGCACAATTCTTGCCTTTTGGCTAGTTTTGAGATGAGAGGCAAGGTAGGAATTCTTGTATGGCATAGGTATAAAAAACAATCGCATCAATAAAACCATATTCCTTGATAGGCCTCTTCTGCTGCCTCCTGGCCCTGTGGTCTGCGGGTAATAAGGTCCCTTGGTCCTTTGGTCCCCTGGTCCCTTGGTCCTTTGGTCCACTGGTCCCCTAGTTCTCCGGTCTCCTGGTCCTCTGGTCCTGTGGTCCGCTGGTCCCCTGGTATCCTGGTCCTTCTGTCTCCTGGTCCGCTGGTCTCTTGTACTCGAAAAATGGTTCACCAGTAGAAATAGCTCCCTACTAGGAAGGAGCTCCTAGGGAGGTACACTCTCCTAGTCACCTACTCCTTCCATCCTCTTCCCTTGGTCTCCTAATCCTGCTGCCGCTACTGCTACTAGCCCAACCATCCTCAGTGGGCTAGAATATTTTTTTGATTCCCTTTTTATTTTTCTTATTGATCCCCGTTGATTTTTTTTGATTCTATTTTAGTTTTTTTGATCCCTTACCCTTTCATGTATGATGCCGATTCTAGGATGCCAGACCGTTGCGGTTAGAACTTCGTTTGTTCTCTAAGGATCCTTGCTGAAGCCCAGTCCGTCCTCGCCTGCACAATGGATCTTCACCTACGATGACTTGCGCAGCTGTGCCCCAGCCAGCACATGAGTCTCGCGCCATGAAACAACATGGGATATAGACAGGGGTTCGTCCATGTTTATCTAGTCATTCACAGTGTATAGATGTAATTGGGTGCTTTCGGGTGGAAGTTGGATTTCTACCATCTACCGGAAGCTTGCGGCCTTTGCTCACGGCCCATCAACATCGCCACACCCCATGACCAATGAAGCATGTGTTTGTGAAGAATTGATAAGCTGAGAATGGGATGTAGTCCATTGTAATCCTCAAAAAACCCGTACCCGAACCCAAAGAACCTTTTTCCATGGGATGTCATCGGGCCCGGAAAAGCAATGGTGACCCAACCAGCTCGGTGTGACCCAACCAGGGCGTCTTCTGGATTTGTCGGTTTCAGCGAACCGAAGACGATGACATGACATACGGTTCGTAACAGATGAGATGAGATGATGCATGGGTTCTTAGAACCTCAAGGGTAGCCTGAAAAGGAGAGCTCCTGACCATGTTGTTTCCATCCAATATACAGCCACCCGTTGAGTGGTGCTGACAGTGGTGCACTGGACGTTATGAAGCAATCATTCTGTTGAGCAAGATCCTTCACCACCTGGAGCATGCAGCATGCACCACAGACTGGCGACTTATGAAAAACATGGCAACGACCCAATCCCTTTGGCGACAAAGTCTGTGAGGTAACGATCGAATTCCATAGTTTAAATCGTAGGATATACAACTTGATGTCAACCTGGTTCATCAAAGTGACCTCTTGATCCCCTGGTTTGAGGTCACAAACAGGCCCGGAAAGGGTCACAACCAGGGACTTTGGGTCGTTTGGTCACAAACTGAAGAAGCTGGAACGTTTTTTGCTGCGGTATTTGTCATTTCACTCGAATCACTCGAAGCTTCCTGCAATTCTCTTTGCTTTGCCAGGAAGTGAAGGCGAACCCCGCGGCTCCTGTGTGGCGGCCGCGAAAAAGAATGGCCGCGACGGAACAAGTCATTGGATTGGTCGGAACATCGACGGAAAACTTACAAAACTCAGGGTGTTCCGATGTTGTTTAAGCCAAGTCTGGGATGATCCGGCAAAGTATATCCCGGGATGAGACGAGTGCAGCGACTCGTGACAGCATCAGCCTGCCGTTGCCAGGCTGATGGCAGGCCGATACCGGGGAAGTGGCGACAGACACAGGGTTTGGCACGGGAGGTGGCAGTGGGAGGTGAATTGGTATCCTCCTGTCACACACGATAGAGGGCCAGGCACAGGTGAGAGGTGGTGAGAGTAGACCTGCTCAGAACTCGTGGTGCAAGGATTCCAAAGTCTATGTGGCAAACAGTGTGGATTTGCATCAAAATCGCCACATGGAATTCAAGCCAAGAGTTGTGCCAAATAGCTTCGCTCAGTCCTGAGAGGCCGCCCATTCCAAGTGAAGTCACTGGTGACCAGTGGAGATGATTTTCCGGTGCGCAGCCACCGTACTTCCGACGAAATCCGGGCTCCAGTCCCTGATTTCTCATCCATGGGCCAACGTGGATGGCACTGATGGCGGCCGCGTAGCCATCCACGTAGCCATGGGATGCTTTCACCAAGCCCAAACACTCCATGTATAGCATATATGCCGCCCCATTGACCCCCCAAGCCTCCCCAATGTAGGCACATATGGCATACATGGAGTGTCTGGGAAGTGTAGAGTTAATACCAGGACCAGGACCATCCTTCGGGGTGTCCTGGCTAACGACTACCCCAACCAGTAGCTAGAGATCTCCAGACAGGACACCCAAACAGGATGGTCGAGGTGCATACCAGCACCCGGCGACAACAGGTGCTTCCTGGTGACCAGTCTGGTGCCCAGAAACCACCTGTGGTCTCCAAACAGCCTGGCCAGGAGGGTGGTACATATCATTCGCAGGGCTACCACCTTCTGAGGACATGCGACCAGGATCCCTACACCCAGACGCTCCATGGGACTGCCATATTTACCTACATTGACCTCTAAAACCACCCCTGGCCTGATCGGCATATATGGCAGTCCCGTGGAGTCTATGGGATAGCGAACACATCACATGGAAGTGGATGGCACACCCTGCTTGTACAGGAACGTCGTCTTCCAAGAGGCCATGCCATCCACGTAACCATGTGATGTGTTCGTCGGAGGGTAGTACTATCCAACCAGACACCTTCCGACCGCACCACCTTCCCCCCGACCCGGTCCTACGTTCCACGTCCGGGGCAGAGTCACAAAGCGGAGCACGAAGAAGCGGTGCACGAAGCATTCGGGGGGGTGCTTGGACCGGTCGCCACCTTCCAACTCAGTCCGACTTGCTCAGTGAGAGCCGTGGATGGTGAATGGGTATTTGGAGCACTTCATTTCCTGAGGCTGCATGATCAGGCATGTTGAAGCTCTATGAACCTGTGGCCTTGGGATCAAGAAACCCTTGGTGCACAAGCGGAGTCACAGCGGGCCTTGCGGTGTGCTTGACCTGCGGCGGGAGCGCCCGCCCAGCGACGCCCCCTACCTCCAGATCGAGCCGCAGTTCACAGCATGTGCACAGGCGAGCGCGGGGAGGAGAGGTGTTTTTGGGAGTTTCAGGTGACGTGGTCCAAAAACAGACACAAACCAGGAGTCACAAAGGGGTGGTGTTTAGTCTCTAAGTGAGTGGATAATGGGCACCCCTAACCTCCATTAAGCACCCTTTTGTGACTGCTGGAAGACATGGGTTTGTGGGTTGGCTTGTGTCTTTGATCATTCTGGACCGGGAGGCGGGTGTTTTCTTTTGGCACGCCTTTAGAGGTGCACGCATGATTAAAGCCATTTAAGATGAAAGAGGAGTCAGGGTTTCAAACCTAGAAGACCCCCCCCCTTCAAATGAACAGTATGTGCTTTCTGCGTGTACGTGTGGCAGACACCTGTTTGGAGGCCCCTGTTTGGATAGTTGTTGAGACCGGTCTCAGGGTCTACCCGTTCGGACGCGGTGGGTGCAAAACAGAGCATGGCCATCGATGTGTGGTTCTGAAATCGATGCTGCGGGGGCGAGAAACCGACGCTGCCGAAGGTGATTTTCCCGAGCCAAGACTTCAGTTGCCGCACCAAGAAAGGAAACCACCGCGCTTGAGGAATTTACAAGCACATCTCAAGCTTTCTTCAATCGACCCTCTAACAAAAATTTGGCCCACTCTCAAGGCGTAGCTGGCAAGCGCGACCCACGGGTTTGGATGGTTTCGATGGGTTAGTTTTGGGGGAATCCCCAGGTCATCGCTGCCTGCTGAAGGGCTCAAAGGACCCATGTTCCATGGATGGCCTGAGGCATTGAGGCCTAGGGATGCCAGTGCACAACCCATGCCCGGGAACGTCAAAGATCCAGGCCCGGGAACGTGAAGCATACACACCCAGTTACACACCCAATATAAGGTCACCAGCTGGCACTTTGGGTCGTCATCCATTTCAGCCATGGAAGGGGAGAGCTTCTAAAGAGTCGAGTGCTGGTAGGTCTATGGCGCTTTGCATCGACCCCTGTATGATTCCCAGAAGGGATATCATTTTGCAAGGTCCTCGATCCAAGCAAACAAGGGTATCTATCATCATTTCCTTCGTATTTTGTCTATTGGCATTATTCTTAATGAACATATGCAAGGAGAAACACATGCCAATCATATACTGTATTATTAACGTAGCCATTCTAGCAATTCTTTTTAGAATAAAGATTGCTATCCACTTTTTAAGTGGCAAATAGAATGACACATATAGACTAACCATCATTTATTTTCATAAAGTATAAACATAAATGATGGGTCACACTTGATCCCATGGAAACATCTTAATTAAATTGAAAGGGATCAAGTGCGAGGAATGTTTAACCTTTATATTATGACCTTCATTTGTTTAGGAAGTGATGACTCGAACCTCCGGGTCCTCCGGGCTCTCTCTCACTGTTGGTTCATGTCTACAGAGGCCTGGGTGATGTAGAATTCGCGAGGAACAGAGGTTTTTCCAGGGGCAAATAATCATGAATACTTATATATATATTATACACATTGGTTGTATCCCAGGTCTTAGGTCAACAATCTAGCAATCTTTGACCATTTGCAGTGATATTTCAGACTAGGTCTTCGCCAAAGGCGCCCGGGTGTTCCGGTTTCCACCCAGTGATTCCAGCACGTCTTCTGCGGACCTTCGGCTCGATGGCCCGTGGCAGCTGACCTCCAAGAGGTGCAGCTGACCTCCAATGGCCTGGCCCAGTAGCGATTGAAGAATTGAAGGGTCTGTATCCCGAAGCACCAACTGGATCAGTTTTTTACATACTGTAAGGAGTGAGTGACAGTGTCTATGAGTCTATACTATAAGGATCTTTACACGGCGAAACCAGCTCCAGCCTTTTTGAGAACATGGTCTCGGAAGGCCAGGGGCATAGAAGCACATTAGATAGATCAGCCAAGGAGGTCAGGAAGGCCCAAGCGAGACCACGCAGAAGAGAGAGAGAGAGAGAGGGGGGGTTGGTGGCATGTAGTAGTCACTGCCCATAGATGTTGCCGCCCAGAGTTCTGGACCCTTTCAACAAAAACGGATTATATAGCAAGTATAGAGACAGAAGTGAAAGGAATTTGATCATAGCCCAGGCCTTCAGTGATTCAGCCACCGACTACTTCCAAACCCCCAAAGCCCCATGTCCAAGACATCACCAACTCATCAATTCACTGGTGAGCACATGTCGCGGCGGCCCTGAGGAGAGCAACGCAGTCAACCAGAAGATCACCTAAAGCTGGGGACTCCCGACCTCCCGAAGCACCCGACAGCCCCTCCACCCCTGGGGGAACTCCCCACCCAGCCACCCCAGCCGGCTCGCCCGTGCCACGGCCCCATGTCGGCCACCGCGGTGCCGTGGCACGTGCTGAGCGTCACTCGGTACGCGGCCGAGAGGAACGACGAGAGACGATCGGTCGAGAGGTACGCGTGCGGACCGAGGAGCGAGGGGTCGACGAAAAAGGTGTCCGAACTTCGGGTGAAGTCCAAAAGAGTCCAAGAGAGGTTAAGTGACCTGAACCAGGACCCCACTGGAGTACCTCTGGGATAGTCTATAGATGTCTATAAACAACGTCCGTTGGGTACCGGCACCTCCAACAGGTCACCAATTGAAGCCTGTTAGGGCCTAACAATCCTCCAAAGGAGACCTGTTGGAAGGTGCTGGTATATTTTGACGGACTGAATGAAATGCCTGAACTCGGGTCACCGTTCATCAGACCATTCTTTTTATAGTCGACTGGACTCCCAGGGGGTGGTGAGCGACTTCAACATTGGGGTGAGCGACTTTTGAGTGAGGGTGCTGGTAGTGGAGAAGAACTGGGATGGCCAGGGGGCACGAGCCGAAGAAAGAAGGACCAGATCGCGGCTGGCCACAGCCATCCGACCACCCGACCACCCACTGGGGCACCCGGATAGAGGGGACCTGGGAGGGGAGCAGAGAAAAGCTGAAAAAAAGATCCTCCAAGTATCTCCAAGTCGTGTCCTAATACCACAACCCTGACATTCCAATAAGACATCCTCAATAAGGAACCTCCTTCAACTCCAGCTGCGGCAAAATGGAGGTGAACTGGACTTCTTTCAGGCTATAGATTCCTATAATAAAAACTAGGTATATATCAAAAAGACCTCTTTTTCTTCAGGACCGGACCGCCTGCGTGAACGTGAACCCGTCGTGAACCCGTCCGGCCCGTCTCGGACCGGTGTCCCGCGCGCCGCGCACCTCGGAGGAGGAACCGAGAGGCCCGTCCGGTGGCGCCGGTGTCGTGTGCCCTCAGGTGATCCGAGAAGCCTGCGTGCTGCCCGCGGAGCAGAGATCTGAAGAACAGATCGATGCCCGGTGGAACGAAGACGCGCGCAGTCGGTCGTGCGGGAGGAAGGGTGGTGGCATGGGGTGGCAAGCGGTGGAAGGCAGGTGAGCAGGTCAGGTGGGGGGGGGGCACCCCAAAAGTGTCAACAGTACCTGGCTGCTGAAAGGGGCGTGCTGAAAGGCTGTGATTCGGGATGTTGAAAGATAATGATAAACATATGTAGACACCCCAAGTGGCAAAACATTGGCAGCATAGAACAAGCACATCCTAACACAAATCATGGAAAGTGGTCCTAACAAGCAACCACGAACAATCAAGCACATCCTAACACACCCTAGGGCTCCAAGTAGCTCAGAAGGTATCTGGACCCTCTGAACCAACCCCAGTCCCACCTTCTGAGCAGGTACTTGGAGCCCTAGGGACACACATCAACTTAGTGATGAAAGACCTCTCCATCTCCCTCCGAATCTCCATCCTTCGAGCCAGACGTCTAAAAACGACTTGCCATCCCGGTGTACGGGGACTTTGATGAAGCCTTTGTTGTCGAGATATGTTGATCAAAAGTCTACATCATGCAGGATGGCTTGTCCATATATTACATTCTATAATTATACATTGAATTTACTTCCCAGGAGTCACAAAGGGGTGGTGTTTAGTCCCTAAGTGAGTGGATAATGGGCACCCCTATCCTCCAATAGGCATCCCTTTGTGACTGCTGGTCTATCATCATTCTTTGACGATGTTCCTCGTCACTGGTCAGCAGCGGCACCAAAACACACACCCACGGTTCCTCAGCGACGCTTTACCGCTCCGACCACCGCCGTTCGTCCGCTCCACGCGCACGGCCGCGCCCGAGGACGCCATCCTCTCCTTCGTCCAGGACGTGGCCTTCTTCGCGGAGCTGCCCTCGGCGCAACGCCGCAAGCTCTGCGAGGCGTCCGAACGCCGCGCCGCGCCGGGCGCTGGCGGAGCTGGAGCGGATGAACACAGCCAAGGAAGAAAAGGGGATGTCAAGGAATGTCAAGTGTCAAGAGCAATGGTCTCGAGCTTCATGAATTCTTTTGTTGCATGAGGTTGGGAGTGAGATGTTGGGGACCTCTGGAGCATATTTTATTCAGAACGTTTGAGGTCTTAACAGCCTTGAAGGGCAAAATTTATAATCTTTTCACCGGGGACTTCTCCTACGCATTGCAAAACATCTGAGGAGTTGACTGGATTGCTTGTGGGTAGGCTTTCCTTAGATGAACGACAAGGGCTTCCCAACATTGTTGCCTTTGGGGCCCAAACCGATTATGCAACTGGGAACCTTCGAGACAGAACTTGGTTCATCATGGCATGTTGAAGCCACAGGGTGCGTAGCCATTTGTAGCCTGCTCATTGCGACTCATATTTGCTGATCATATCACACTACATACGCAAACACATAATATATGCTCCTGGTTGTTGCGTACATGGCTCCGATCCTGACCAAAGCAGTGACCCATCATTACAGCACCGCCCCCCCGTCATCGCTTTTTGAAGCTCAGGTGATCAGCCTGGAGACCTTCCAGAGCCGCAGTAAGGTGTGAGAAGTTCATGGACTATGTTGGACTATGTTGGACGGATCGGGTGTATTTTTTTTTTGAACCGAGCTGAGTGGTTCCGTTCCTCTTCTGGGGGGATGATAATGGTCGTTTCCAGTCTTTTTCTCAGCAAAAGCAAGTTTAGGATACTGCAGGGGTCTAAGGGCTATGCTGACTGGGTGGCACATGAAAGCCAGTTCCAGCGGGTGTGTAACATAGAGAGACCTCCCAAACAAAGGCGCCCTGGAAGAAAGACAGTCACATCAAACCCTGTCAACCTCCCCTTCTCGAATGCACACCCCAGTTTGCATCCAATTCTATGGGCCAATGGAAGATGCCTAAGTTAGACCCTTCAAGCCCTCCCCAGGGTTGATTCACCCTCCAGTTTGGGCCGCTCCTTCCGACATGCGCTCCTCCTCCTCGGCAGATCTTCGATATTGGCGACCATGGGGATAAGTGCCTGGGCTAGAGCGATGGATGTTGACGTGTGGGGTGGCTTTGGATGTTGCCCTTGTCCCACACGCGGCTCCTCGCAACTGGTGCGTGGCGTTTTTCGTGCGTGGGCGGAAACCACTTGGCCTGAAGGTGGGGGAATGCGCGGCTTTTATCAGATGCTTTTTACATCTGGGTCCTTCAAGATGATCCTTCGTTTGCCTGGTCCTTTTTTCGGGGTGTGAGAAAGGGAGATACACAAGTAGTGTAGGGCGTAGGGTAGTCTATTGGAGACCCCTTAAGGAAGGTGCTAGCCAAGTCCAACGTCCAAGACTCTGACCAGTCCACCTTTTGCTGCCCTTTGGGAAGCGACGCGCGTGTTTCGCCACCGCGGGGTTTCTTGCAAGTCATGGGGGAGTCCAAGACTTGCTGGAACATGTTTGAACATGGTTTTATAAGTGACCCAAAGATATTTTTTCAAAAACTGTGCTGGTGCCACATAGTCTTGGGACTTCCAGGGAAAGCGTTGGAAGCCTAGAGTGAGGTGTCAGGGAAACCGTTCGCGGACCGCTTAGCCGCACCCGTCAGACGCTCGTGAGGTACTACATCATCCTCACTGGCGCCGTGATGGTCCAAACGCTGCAAGAAAAGGCGGCCGACGACTGGACCCCTGCAGAGGAGGCGAGGACAGGAGGGCCGTGAGGAGAGAGGAAGGTGGACAGATGGTGAGTGGAGACGTCCTTTTGAAGGGCAGCCTTGGGAGCCGGGAGCCCTTCAGGTAGGCAAGGGGCGCCGGGTCCTGGGGCCGTGCGGGTGGAAGTCTACGTAGCTAATCGGGGTGGGGTCCATGTAGGCATGGATAGCAATGGATAATAGCATACATATATATAAAACATGGGGTGTCTGGAGTATCAAGCCTTTCTTTTCCCCAACATGATCCGCAGGAGGTTTTCGCCGCCTGGTGGAATCCCTTCTACCCTTGGTGGAACTGGCAGGGATCCTCCATGGCAGGGATCGAGCCGGACACTGAAACGCCAAGGGTCCGGACCCGAACCAAAGCCTTTCCATGAATTCGGGCCCGGAGTCTTGGGGTGCACCATTCTAGTAAAAGCACCTCGCAACACCAGAACCTGATGACACCAGAACACCTTGGCCAGGCGTTTGGTTGTTGTGAATGTGGGGATAATATCGAGTCTTCTCCTCCCACTGACGGGGTTTTCTGCCCAACGCGCCAGTCGATGGAGACGGTGGCGCAGCTCAAGGAAGGCCACGGCTTTGGTGAGTGCCTCGACCTACCCTGGACCTACCGGTAGAGTGAAAAGTGAATCAGCTGCCCTGCAAAAGCCTTCCTAGAGAGGTTGAACAGCCCTAAGGTCGCCCATCCCATATGTACCACAGACCAGGGTCCTAGTTCAGGTCTCTCAACTTCTTTTGGTTGTTTGGGAATTGTTTTCCTGGGTTTTGCCGATCGGGTTTCCTTTTGATTTGTTTGAATGGCGTGAGTACCCTTCCGGGGGTTACTCCCGGGAAGATTTACATGGAACCTGAAAATGTACCTTTGGAAGACTATTTTCCTCTACCACCCAGTTGTTTTCAGGTGCTATGTTAATCTTCCAGGGTGTATTTACTACGGTTTTGTTTATTGTATTTCATTGTTTGCAGTTCTAGCAGCAAATCCACATTTCTCCACCAACTATGAGCTCGGCTGCGGGATTTAGCTGGTGTTTCACCTGCCTGTTGGGGCTCGCCCACCACCCAGGCACCACCAGGCACTACACCGCTCGTCTGCCCTGACCGCTCGACCGAGGCTGGCGCTGCAAGACACGAGCCTGCGGCAAGCCACAGTCATCACCACGAACTTCACGGCGGGGGAACGGGGGGGACCGACGTGAGCTGGCGACTCGACCGGCTGGACCTGGCGGAGACGAGCGACCGGGAGATCTCTTGACGATTTCATGGGGATTGGGGGTGGGTGAAAGAAGGGTCCAGTCCGTGGATGGAGTGTTGGAACGAAAGGCTGGATGTTTCAGGCACTCTATGGGACCCCTTTTTCAGCAACCCAAACGGACCGGCATAGATTTCTAGTTTAAGTGGAGTATTTCGGCTAGAGCAGCTAGAGGATCCTAGAAACCAGACTGGACCTCCACACCGTGATAGGAAGTTTGACCATCTTTGGGGCTGGTGACTCAGGTTCTAGGATTCTAGGCAATATGATTGACATTCGACCCTCCCAGAAGCGCGGAACTCCCCGCGGATGCCGCTTCCAGCAAACCACGCCGCTGATTCTTTGGCGCCGCGGATGCTGCTAGGCCGGCGCTCGCCGTTCCCGGTGGAACGGATCGGCGATCGCCAGGAGTTCCTGGTGACGCGCCGGGAACACTACCAGCAGTTCGCCCGCGCCGAGCACCAGCAGTTCGTGAAGGCGCGCGTGGCCTTCCTCCGGTCGCTTGGCAGGCAGGCGCGACCGTGGAAGGCTGGTGGCTCGATGCGTGGAGGGTCCTGGCGCTCTTTGCAGTTCGACTTCCCTAGGGATCCAGGTAAGTACCGAACCTCAGGTACGGTACGACTGGACCCTCCTGGCACCTACATAGCGGTGTCGAACACATCACCGTACCTGAGAAGGTACGACGGGATCCCTAGGGATTGTTTGGGTTCCTCCGTCCCGTTTGGGCTCCTGGCCCACCGAACTGAGGTGAGGATATGGGCCAGGGGTGGGTGCCAGGGGGGTCTAACCACCGAACCTAAGGATTTGGAGCCCTAGGGTGTATGAAAAGCACTGATTTGTGAATGCATGCATGGTCTCTTTGAACATCTCATGTCTGCAGCATCCAGACATCGCAAAGAAAGACACCATCAGGCTCCAATTCGATCAGGTGGATCATTCAATACAAACGTCGGAATGACCCAGGATACGGGGAACCTGCACATATAGAATTTCCCTGGCTTTGCTTAGGGTGATTTGTATGTTCCTTTAGGATCTTTCCCTTTGTTGTGGGTGATTTGATGTATACTTTGTTTCCTCCGGCGTGGGGTCCTCAGCCCATCTGAGACTTGTCCCACCCAGGTCGCTTCACTTGAAAGTTGGATCAAGTTGGATCCACCAAAAGAGGTCGAGAGGTCGTTTCACAGAACCCTGGTCTGTGGTACATGGCAGGGATGGGCATGGCCAGGGCTGCTCTCCAAGCGCCAGGACCCTCCGTTCGGGTTGTCTATTTATAGCCCTTTAGCTGTTTGGGTGTCTCACCACGGGTGTCTCAGGGGCGGCTATATATACCTGGTAGTCGATCTCTGAGGCAATGCCCCCGGATGCTGCGTGCCATCGCCATGTCGGAGGTCACCGAGCAGGAGCTCTGGTCAGGTTGAGCAGTGGCTGGGTGTGGGCAGGCTCTGTGCCTAGGAAAGGTTAGAAGGCACTAGGAATCACTAGTATTGGACTTCTGGAGTCCAATGCCAGGAGGGTGTAAGATGGTGTGCGTAACTGTTTCCTGGCCTCGTTTGGGCTGATGATCTCAGCCCTACCAAGTGACCACAGCCCGGTCACCCAGGAGGTGAAGGTCATGGCGCAGTGCCTCCGCGAGAAGTCCCTCCGCACGAGGGATGTGCCACTCAGACCCGACGACGTGGGTGGTTCCGGGGGGGGCCGGATGGGATGGGTGGAACAGCGGTGTCCAGGGGGTTCGGAGAAGCAGGTTTGGTGTTCCAAGAGGGCTCCAGGCAAAACATGGGTTCAAACAGCTTGGCAGGGGCATCCAGGGACGGTCAACGGAGATCGTTACGAGCGAATCTTGAAAGGAGACATGCTGCGTGTTCCACTGAGATATCTGTTCATGAGTAGGCCACCAACTAAACCTAGTGAGCCGACAGATGGTTAGCCTTTTGCTTCCTAATTGGTTCCTTATACATGCTCCATACAAACATGGGGGGATGCCGATGAACTGATGAACCCAAGTACAAAGGCATCACGCCTCCAGTCTCAGGATGCCCCTGCTTTGACACACCCTGTGAGGCCTGCTCAGCCCAGCCATGCAGGGCTCTAAAATAGACGACCAAGGGCGGTGAACCATCTTGTTGAATGATCGAAGATAGAGAATCCTGCTCCCCTGCCGGGCCCCGGGTCCGCGCCGCCGGAGGCTGTGCAAGCAGGGTGAGCCGGTGGAGTTTCTGCTGCTGGTGCGCTCGGGCTTCTTAATGCGTCTCGGCACCGGTGCCGCTGCCCGCGGGTTCCGCGTCTCGCACTTCGGACACCGGGCGGTATCCGGCGGAGGGAGGCGGTGTCCGGTGTCCGGTGCTGCGCCTGCGTCGTGGCAAAGGATTGGAGATATTGGAGAGGGTTTTTTAGCTATGGGGGGAGGAGAGATGGGCATCGAATTGAAGGACATCAAGGGGCAGATGTCTTCGACCAAAGACGAGCAAAAGAGATTCCAATTTAGAAGATCTTAGAAGTAACACCCTCCGGAGGGTTCCCTGAAGACATGTGAGTTTCAATGGAAGACAATATAAGAAGACTCTTGACAAAGAGGGTGGGTGGGGAGAAGGCTCTTGACAACGGGGTGTGGATGAGGGGATCATAAGAAAGCCTGAACCTGAACTTGGAGCAGCTGCTTGGTGGATCTGGCGTTTGAGGGACCTCAAAGACCCAGACAGAGCCGAAGACCCATCCAGTCGGACGCCTCCGCAGTTTTTCCCCTTCGTTGGTGGCCTCTGGGTGTCGTTCCAAGCCCGGTGGCTGCCACGGCCCGACCCCTTCGGGTCCACGGTACGGTGCCGTCGTCCGAGCTGGCGCGTTCCGTCAGTCGTGGGGTCGACCGATTGGGAGTGCTTCGAAACGCACAGATCGAGGTTTGAGGTCAAGAGTGTTTCATTGTAACATGGTGTTGGACGTGTTGGATTTGAATCGCTTTCCACGTCCGCTTTTCGCGTGTCGAAGAAGGCTTTCATGAAATGGCTGCTTCGATCTTGTTTGACAGTGTGGTCAGAACATGTGGACGCACGATTCGTCCCCCCTGGACCATGACAGCAGCTCTTCTTGTTTAGTAACGCGAGTCGGGCTTTAGCACTGGCCGGCGTTGTGAAGCACTGATGCTTCAACACGGCGGTCTCCTGTTTCGGACTCCAAGCACCTCCGACGTTGAAGGTGGACTGGGGTGAGTGCTGCACTATACGGGGGTGCTGAGGAGGGGATGTTTCCTCTATAACCAATACCAGGACCTTTTAACAGGTGGTTTTAGAAGCCTAGCAGGCGGTTTCTGGGCACCTGTTGTCACCAGGAAACACCTGTTGGAGGGTCCAGGTAGTGGTTTTGAGCTGTCTTGTTAATTTGCAGGAGGGTCGCCTCCATGAAGCTCCTGTTGCAACACGTGCGTTTTTACGCTCCGGTCGCTGCCAGAAGCCTCAGCCCTCAGGAAACTGCGGGCAGTAGAGGCGGAGCGAGAGGCCAGGAGCATGGGGTGAGGAGTCCAAGATGTGGAGGGTGTTCTTCAAATTTGATTTTTAGAAGTATGCTTGGCATCGTTTATGAAAGGAAGTGAAGATGTGAGGCGACTATATAGGAGTGTTTTCTGGAACACCTTCCAGTTGGATATATTATATACATGCTAGCTGGGCTTTTTTTGTTTGCCTGGTAGCCGCTGGTGCCGACCAGTATGACCAAGACGTACTTGCAGAAATTGCTTTCCTTGAGGCCCTTACTCAGTGAGACGGTGGAAATCAGAGGCATCCACTTAAGAAGGGCTGTAAAACTGGTGCATTTATGTAATATATGTGCTTGTCTAGCATTACCATCACCTGAGTGTCACCAGCAGATGACAGGTCGTTGCTACACCAAGAAATTGTAGGACATCCTATGACACCCTGGCGTATGCAGAGCAGAATGGGACATAGCCTTTGTTCCAGCACTCTTCGTTTGGTGAGAATAAGGAACTCCTTGCGGTCTCCGCCCCCCTGACTCTGCTGTTCGCCATGCTGGCAGCCCATTTGCCTACCAAGAAACACGTGGAATCCGAACCCGCCAGAGACCAGACCCTGGACACTCGCAGCAAGTAGTGAGTACCGTGTATGGAACAACAGCCCTAGAAGTCGAAAGGCTGGACTTGGTCATCACCAAGAATATCATTCAACTACCAGGACCCTCCAAGGCGTGTCTATTTATAGCCCCTTAGAGGTTAAGGGGTGTCCATTAACCACCCCTTGTGGGTACTAGTAGTCTTGTTCTCCCAGGGCTTGACTTCAGTGCCCAGCTTCAACCACGCCACGTCTTCAGGACGCTTCTCCCACACCACCCGCTGCTGAGCTTCGCCCCGTGCGCAGCTCCCTCCACACGGGGCTTCCCTCCCGACCCTCGCAGTCCCGGGCATCCAGTCTTCGTTGGGGCGCCGCGAGCAGTGTGTCGAAGTCCTCGGAGCCTCGGCGGAGTCCGTGGGGAGTGGAGTCCGTGGAGGCCCGAAGAGCTGAAGCCGACGCGAAGCCGGAGGTGAGCTAGGGTGAGGAGCGAGCAACGCCGGTTTTTGGATCAAGGCTTTGCCATGCACTACAGCATCAGCAAAGCTCTTGAATGGTCGAACGGAAGGGCTTGAAGCGATGAGGTTTCCATCCAGAGACCCAGGAAGGCTTCACCGAACCCCAGGCGGCGGCCGACCCCGACCCCTGCTTTAAACCGGCCTGGGATCCCAAGTCCCAAATCCTTGCGGACACTTGGAGAGGGGATTCCGAAGATTCCTCCAAAGAACCAGGGGTTTGGAAGGAACATTCCTGGGGTTCATGTATATACTTATACATGAAACACGCCCAATCCGCACATACCTTGGCCAATCTTCGGGGGCCGAGGATGCAGGGTCCAAATGGAGCCGAGCGCCGAGCGCCTTGGCGGGAACGGACTGGCCCGTGCGGAACCAGCTCCCGGAACGGCCGGGCTGGTGCCTAAAAGAGAGGAATTTCACTGTCAGAATCACACGTCCTGAAGCATCTTCCAGACACTCTATGGGCATATATGCTGCCCCATTGACCCCCCTGGCACCACCCCAATAGAAAGAAACCATGCGCCAGTCCCATGGAGTGTTTGGGTCCTGAAGCTGTTACCGTTTGGACAAACGATCCACATCCCGAATCCCTGGGTTCAACAAGGTGCTTTTTTTCTCAACCCTTCTCCCAGCTGCTCGAACATGTCCCTAAGACCTCTCCCCTACAAGGCAGAAAAACCACGAAGAACAACTCCACCGCCCCGCAAATCTGTTTTGCACCGCTTCGCCCAAACAAGCCATCTGCCTCTCCGCCAGGGGCCGCGCCACTTCCGCCAGACCCTCCCCTCTCAGGTGGCAAGCTTCTGCACCTGGGCTCGTTGCCCGCCTTCGCCTGTTATGGCGCCTATGAGCTGGCGCAGGCCGTGGACGAGGACGCCAAGAGCGTGGTGTCCACCAAGAGCAAGCCCGCGGTGTCTTTGGCAGTGTGGCCATTCAGCCTGGTGGCCGAGAGCACTGCGGAGGTGTACCTGTGGCTTGGCGAGCTAGGGGTTGGGGGGCTTAGGGTGGGTAGGGGGGCTACAGGGTGGGACACGTCTGAATGTAGAACACACCTCCGCCAGACATGGATGGCAAAACCTCTTGCATGGGGGCTTTCGGTCATCAACGATCTACATGACTGAGCCATTGAATCACGGTCCTGGGGCCGGACTCCAGCTCAGAATGTCCTCATGAATACCCGAACAGGCGGAGCAAGAGTGCTGGACGTGACACAGGTGAGGAGGGTACCCCGACCCACTCAAGTCTTGGAGTGAATTCAGAAGAAAGTAAGGGTGGGAAATCTTATGACATCTTGGCATCTTCTATAAGCATCATCTAGCCTTGCCATTGTTTTCCTGAAAGACTTCCTATTGCACCTTCGATGTACTCATAACTGAGGATTCAGAAGCAGGCGGGGCCAGCAACGGAGGCGGTATGGAGGTGGGAAATGGAGGGCTGTAGTATGTATGCCAAACGGCGGAATCCACGCGAGAACATTGTAGAAACCCACCAGAGGGTATTTGTGGTGATTTGTGATGTAAACAGACCGTATGTCGAGGGAGTTTAAGGCATTTCACGGTGAAAGGTGCATACTTGCTAGGGCAATACCTGAACTGGACCCTCCTAATACCTCAGAAGATTGATACAAGATGACCACCAGGGAACGAATGTCCCGGTGAAGCCCCTATTTGTTGGTGAATCCCCATCACCAGCAGGACACTTTTCGGGATTCTTGTCCAACCCAGGTCAATGACCTCATCTTGCTGGACTTGGTCATACAAAAACACTAAAAGACCAGGTTTTACCGGGTCAGACTGGACCTTGTAGGGCCCCCAAACCCGACCACCGTCCTCGGTCCTTCGCGTTCGTCCGGACGAGGACCTGCGACGGACCCTGGCGAAAAAGCTGGTCGCCGCGCTGGTGGAGTTGTCCCAGGCCTTTCGACAGTGCGGTGGGCCGGTCGACGGGACCGCACGTACGGAACGGCATGGCAGTCGCACAGTCGGACGCGGCTGGGGCAGGTGGGCTTCGGAACGTTGTTCCTTTTCCCCAAAAGGGTTGTGACCATCGGTGAGATGTGTGAGTGGAAGGATGGTTCATAATACAATATGATACCCAGACATTCCATGGGACTGCCATATATGCTTGCATTGAGGTGGTGCCTGGGGGGTCAATGGGGCGGCAGTTGGGGCGGCATATATGGCAGTCCCATGGGTCGTGTTTGGGATATATATGCGATTCAGCTGTTTTTTGGGGAGCCACCATTTCCCCGCTTCCCAAAGCTCTAGGAACAGATTCCCGGCCCGCGACTTTCGTCTGAATCCCCAACACTCATTGTTCAAGGATTTTAGACACCGCCCAGTTCCGACTTCTTTTTCAAGGCTGGTTTTGCTTATCAGGTGATTTTTGTTTAACATTTTTCCCCATGGTTGAATCCCCTCCTAGGGAATCTTGGATATGATTCCAGGTTCCTTGAGCAAATCCAAGCCATGCTCCAACCGGAAAGGCTCCCACGAAGTTGGGGCCAATCCGACCCCAGACCTCCAACTTTCCGTTACGTCCCCGGCCGGTTGGAGAAGACACGGCTTGAGCGATGCGGGTTGGCCGACGCAGGAGATGCACTATAGCGATGCGTGGCTCCTGCAGATGATGCGGCAAACCGAGCGCGCGACGCCCCGGTGAGGATGCGAGCGGAGATCCGGGAATGAGAGGTTCTGTCGCCCAGACGTCGACCCAGGGCTGGCATATGTACCGATCAGTTGGGGTGGTTGGTTTGGGGAAAGACTCCATGGGTAAATCATGGTAAATATGTCATAGTTTGGGGAAAGACTCCATGTGCCCGGATCGTTTGCAGTTGACTGGAGTTCGTGGGTCCAGGTCCCTTTTCTTGGTTTTCTCATGGTTTCTCATTCTTGGTTTGGCAGTTGGATTGATATATAAATTAATGTGTTCAATGATGTTGAAACATCATCATTTCAATGCTTGCTTCTTTGGTTTTACCATCCTCAAGACCACGCATCACCACAGGAGGCCACCCGGAGAGAATGCGATCTTGAGGCTGGGATGCCTACAAGCACGACATGGTCCTGCGCGTGCGGGATCTTGGCTTCGTCGTCTTGCTACGATCCGCACCTTTTCGGGCGGATCGTCCTTTCAGAGTCTGTTGTCCTGAGGGAGATGTGTTGAGAGGACGGCTGGGACCATTTTTCTTCGCATTGAAAAAGGTTGGTCAAGGGCGAACATCCTCGGCCGTGCCGCAGACATTTCCTCAAAAAGACCGGAGCGAGATGAGCGAGCCACCCCGCGGATGGGTCGCACCGAACCGCGCGGCGCGCAGGTGGGCGGACAGGACTTCATAGATCCCTTAGAGCGCTTGGGCCTGAAGGACTTCAGAGCACCAGCCGTGTGGGCAGAAGCATGGAGAGCTCCCAGGATGTGTTGAGATTGCAATGGGTCGCCCCCATGAGGAAAAAATCACCTTCCAAGCATTACTTGATTTACCCATGCAGACACTCCATGGGACTGGCATATTTGCCGATCCATTGACCCCCCAAACCCACCACCCCCATCTTTGCCGATTCGGACTGCCTTCAAAACGGCCAGGGGTGGTGGTTTGGTGGGTCAATGGATCGGCAGTCCGACATGGCAGTCCCAGACGGGTCGTCTTGACCTCATAGTGCCGCACAGATAAAAGCACCACAGCACCCGGCCAATGCCCATGCCAAGCCCCATGGAGATGGGAGATGTGGTCTTTGAGCTTCTAGGCCATGGTAGGCCTGGTTTTGCTTAAGGTGATTTTTCCCTCTTCAGGTGAATATGTTTTTTTACTTATCAACCGGCTCCTTCCACTTCCCACCTCCCATTTTTTTTCCATTGACTGCTGTGCAGACATCTTGATATTCCGGAACTTGGCCTATTTTTTTTTTGAGATCTTATTGCTTTGAGCAGGGCAGCTACACCGACAAAGGAACATGACCCTGTGAACCGTGGAGACGTGGCAAGTGGAGACCGTATCAAAACTTGAGGATCCAGAAAACGGATTCGTGGCATGGACCTTTGGAAGACTATTTTCCTTTACAACCCAATGGCCTTCGGAGTCACAGAGATCGGGGAGGCGTGGCTCGTCCCATCCAGTGGATGTAGATGTGACTTCTGGGCACACCCGATCTTCCTCCATGAATAGCACCCCGACAATGTGACTGCTGGTTTATCCCTCTACTTGGGGTTGTTCCCTAAGGCAGTCCCTAAGGCATTCGTCACCCAGTTCCATGACATTTGGCCCGCCTGCGCAGGATGAGGCCTTTAAAGTCTCGCCCAAGATTGTTTTGACCCCTCGCGAAGAGGAGCCGGGAAGCCCAGACAGTGTTGTATATATAGGGTCACTACCAAAGGTCGGACACCACCACAGAGACTACAGAGACTCACATGGAACCTGATGGCATGGAGCAGACTGGAAGCTTCTTCCTCCCACAAACCAGTGGTTTTCATGTGGGTCTCATGCGGGACTCGGATCCGGGGCTTGCACTCCCTGAAAGCAGTTACTTGCTGGGTCTTCGGATTTCAACGTCCTTTGTTTGCGGCCATCCACGTCACCATGGGATGGTTCCAGGGAGAAAAAAACGGACTCAGGTCGAATGGCACCCTCAGTCAGAACCGTTCTCCTCGGTCGCTGCACCAGTGGTTTTCAGGGGGGCATGGGATCGTTTTCAGTGGGGTCAGTTCCAAAGACCCTAGGCCGCAGCCAGGCCCTAGACCTGGAAACATTTGGAAACCCTCGCTGCAAAGGAGAACGAATCGGGGGCGACAAACGAGTGGAGAAGCCGGGTCTTGGGAGCAGCGTTTGGGGAACTCTGGGGAAGAAAGAAAAGACATTCGAGAGTTTTGGGGATCATACCTTGAAATATGTCCAGAATATCCAACAGAGGTTGAAGGACCATATATATATATATATATATCCGGCTACCCCAGGTTACAGGTCCTATTTACAGTCACTTAACATCACTTAACCTCTCTTGGATCCCTTTGGAGAGGGTTTCTTCATGTTTCTTCAACATGGTGTGCAACGGAGGATGGAAGGCGCATCGGAACTTGGACGTTCCGAAATCGGCCGAAATCTTAGTGTTGCGGCATCCGGAGGCTATATCATGAAGTGGAAGGAGGAGGTTCTTGTTCTAGCCACGTGCACTCTGACTCACTTAACATAGAAGTGGATTTTCTATAGACTCTTTCCAAGGAATCATGCCAGTTTGCTTCCATCGTTACTGTAGGCAATCAGAGTGATGATACACCCTGGAAAACCACGACCCACATGGATCCTGAACCACAGTCTGGCACACGGTCAGGTCCTGGAAACACGATTTTCCAGATGAAATGGACGTTCACTTGAGCAGCGTTCTAAATTCACCCTTTTGTTTTTAGTCAGGGACCGGCCAAAAATCAGTGAACATAGTGATCTTAGCTGATGTTTATAAGGTGTCCGTAATGTTTGCCGTAAGGATGTGCAGACTTGAACGATGCCGTAAGGCTACCGGAAGCGAAACTTGTTTATGTTGATTCTGTTTCCTTTATGTTTTGCAACAACATATCATATGTGACCATGGTGGACTTGCATACCTTCGCCGTAAGCACAACATGTGTCACCGTAAGCCAAACATAGAAAAAACAATGTAAGCTTTCCGCAAGGCCTTAGGCCTACCGTGAGGTGTTTCGTCGCGTCTTGGCAAAGAAAAGACAACACCATGTTGAACGCCGCGAGCTCCGCGAGCGGACGTAGACCTAGGAGCACCGGACGGGTTCCCGACCGGACGGGTGCAGCGACCCTAAGGGGATCCCAAATAGGACCAAATAGAATGCAACAATCATAGTCAGTCTTGGTGGGGGTCGACCAATGGTGATGTCAATCTATGTTCATGGTCAAAAGGATTCATGCAAGGACTCATGCTCAAGGATGTATGGATCCTTTCATCGAATTCGCGAAGCCACATTTTTCCCACCATCCTTTCGGGAGCTGCTATGAGCTGGGTGGGTGGTGGCTCCGCGTCGCGCCCCTCCGGTCGCGCCGCCCAGGTTCTACAGCGACACGGCCTCGCCCCAGCTGCGGAGGCTCAAGGCGATGAAGCCGCTGGGCCCAATCGGCCACCGGGGGTCGGGCGCAGGGGGTCGGGCACTGCAGGGGTGGGTCTCTATTGGGTAGCACTACAGAAAAAGGTTTTAAGGTCGCACGAATTAGAATGGGAAAGGGTGGAGCTCCAACCCATGGTGGGGGTTGGTGCCGACCTTTGGTTGGTGCCAGGGGGGGCGACTGTAGCCATAGATTCCGTAATTACATTTAGAGTGTTTGGGCAAGGGCTCTTTGCGGGGGAAGGGTTGACATGGGTTGACATCGTTCAATTAGGATCAATTTAGGGGGTCACTAAGACGCATCAAGACACCCTCCTGCAAATGTTTTCCCGCGGCATTGGTTGTGGAATATGGGCATCATGATGTATCATAAGTTGAGGCAGGATCAGTACCCAGACACTCCATGTATGCCATATATGCCTACATTGACCCCCCAACCACCCCAATGCAAGCATATATGGCATACATGGAGTGTTTGGGTTAGGGATATGGGTTCGTCTCAAAGTATACAAGCCAATTCCTCAGCCCACCCCCCCCCGACCAGAAGGGAAGGCAGACTGACTGGACCAGTTGAATTAACAGGTGTGATACAGCTCCCAGTTTTGTGGGTGTTTTTGGCGCTTGATGTAGGCTTTTGATTCATCAAGCATCATCAACCTCCCGCAACCAGACATGGATGGTAGAAGGCTCTTCATGTGGAGGGTTGCAATGCCATCAAGAAGTCTTGGGCTTCTGAGCTGCTCCCCTCGACACCATGCGACACCATGCGACACCACCATCCATCGGGGTACCGCCTGGTCTCCGCCAGAGCTCCCCTTGCTGGGGGGGAGGAGTTCCGGACGTGGCCGGAGCGACCGTGGTCGGGTGTTTGGGCGGATTTGGGGGCGTTTTCTTGGTGAATTTTTCTGGACTTCTCCCGAATTGGGTACATCCCCAAACCTCGAATATTTTTTAGTATTCTTACCATATGTTTCATGAGTCTCTTAATCCTACCAGGACCCTCCGTCCGGGGTGTCTATTTATAGCCCCTTCAACTGGCTGTGATTCGGGGTGTCCATGACATCCACCCAACTCCTGAGGGTGCTGGGGGCGTGATGGCCGTTCGGCTTTTCTCCAAACCAGGAAGGATCGGCACTTCCAACAGCTGCTGCAACGGAGCGGGCCACCTTCCAGCGTGCCTTGGGCAGTAGCAGGGTCGTCGCATACGAAGGAGGCTGCACCAGGCACCATGTGGTGTCCGAGAGCTTGATGTTGCATCTGGAAGTGGCTTGACGAAGCTTTCGAGGGTTTCAAGTTGGGTGGAAGGGTACCCAGCTTGATGTGGAACCTTTGCTTTGGGGCATGATGGATTTTCCGTGACGAGGGTCTCTGGTTCAAGTGAGTTGACACCACCAACGAGACCATTTGATTTCGGGTTCGAAGCGCGCACGTTTTCTAGAATACATGACCCGGGCAACCAGGTTTGGCCTGGGAAGGCTGGAAACAACACCGAAGTGCCACGAGGATGTGATCTTTCTCACCCCAAGAGGAGGGATTTTTTTTTTGGCCTTGTTTGACTTACGAACATTCAAGTCACGACCATCGAAGTGGTCAATAATTACTACAAATACTAATATATCTATATACTAGCCCAGACACTCCATGGAACTGCCATATATGCTTATATACATTGGGGTGGTGCCAGGGGGGTCAATGGGGCGGCAGTCCTATGGCAGTCCCATTAGTCGCGTTTGGGAAATATACGAACAGGGAAGGCCGCCGCCTCGACCTCCACCAACAGAGGCGACCAGTCATTTCGGCCAGTCAAGTTGGACTGGGATCGGTCCGTTTGGGGCGAAGTCTGTTGGGCTGTGGGACAGTGGTTGCACTGGTTTGAGCTCAGTTTCCTTCAGGCCTTGTCCGAAGTACATTAAGAGGGAGTAATAAAACGGAGAGAGAGAGAGAGAGAGAGAGAGAGCAAAAGACAGAAAAGGACAAGGAGAGGGAAGAAATCAGAAACAACAGTATACAACAGTGAAGGTTCTCTTGAAGATGCTGTTTGGAAGATCTTCGGCAGGGATTGAAAAGGGGCACGGACCAATGCACCAAACTTTCTGGTATCACGAAGACATCCCCCTGGCAAGGCTGGCCCAATGATATGGATGTGAGTCAAAACCCCTGGAGCCCGGAACTCACCCTGGTAGATTGACCATGTCTGGTGGTCTATTTGGTGCATGTTCAGTGACCAACCAGGGCATCCCAGTTGTGACCGACCACGGAACGGTCGGCCATGTGGGCTGCTCAGACTGGTGGGCTCGGCCCACCTGAGTCGTGGGCTAGGACATCTCCAAGAAGCCTCGGCAGTGGACCCTGCGTTTTTGGGCTCTGGGAAAGACCATTCTTCCCCTCCAATCAGTAACCGGGGGTTGAAGTCCACTTCCATGTTTGTTTGCAGGGAGTACAGCCTGTAGTTCTTACCATTTCTCTCTTACACCCCAAACATCACCCAGAGACTTCACCAGCTGAGACGCATCTCCGCATCTTTCCCACACTGAACGACTCAACGACCCGCGGCGACCTGCCGATGACCAACCCGGTGACGGTGACGACCTGGCAGGGTGGAGGCTCCGACGCGGCGACGTATCTGACGTTGGGCGATTTCAGCACCCGGGCCTCTTGGTTCTTGCAGGTTCTCGTTTTGTTTTTTCCTCTGGGCGCTTGGCTTAAAAGCAGGGTTCCTTGGCTTTCATCTCTTAGGTGTTAGGGAGGAGGTTGGATGCTCCTGGATGAAGTCTCTTTCTGAAATCTTGATTGCATGACCCCCCCAATCTCACAGATGGCAAAAGCTCCTCACGCCAGTCGCGCGGGCGACTGGAGTCCAACATCAGGAGTTCGTGGGGTTGTGTTTCTTTCCTCTCATCCCACGTGGATGTTCCCTAGGGCTCCAACTACCTCCTGAGGTTCGATGGTTGGGGTGGGTGCCAGGGGGGTGTCTAACCACCTGAGGAGATAGATGGGCCAGGAGCCCTGCAAGGTTCTAAACATCCTCATTTCGGGCACCGGCAGTTCTGCTACATGACCGACGCCCTGGCACACCTGGTAGACTGGTCTACTTTGGATTCTTCAGCGTCTTCGGTTCTCTATTTCCCAGACACTCCATGGGACTGCCATAGGACTGCCGATCAGTTGGGGTGGTGCCAGGGGGGTCAATGTAGGCATATATGGCAGTCCCATGGAGTGTCTGGCTTTGAACACATATAGGAACCCACTCGCAAGTGTCCGGTTGAGCAGACCCACGCCACCTATATCGTCGCCGACGGTCGCCGACGTGAGGCCTATGCTCAGCCGCGACCTTGGGATCCCTCCATCTTCTTCGCCGCTGGGACGGAGACATCGCGGATTGTGCCAGTGCCAGTGCACTTCCCCTGCCGGCGAGGTCGCACAAAGGGCATGATTTCCCAGACACGACCCATGGGACTGCCATAGGACTGCCGCCCCATTGACACCCCTGGCACCACCTCAATGTAAGCAGTAATGTAAGCATGTATGGCATACATGGAGTGTCTGGGATTGGAGCGGCGGAGATGTGTTGTTAGACTTGAGGAGACGTGCTCTGCTTTTTCGAGGGAGAGAGGTGCTCTAGAGATCATTTCTTGTGTGTGGTCGTTGGTTTGGAAGACGTAGAGCGATGGGTCGTAGAGTTGTTTCTTGACCCTTTCGATTGAAGAGGTTGGCTTGTGGGTCTTTGTTGATACAACGCCTGAACTCTTGGTGGTAGCCTGCCCCATACTATAATCACGTACTCATCATGACACATGGCCTCATTTCTGAATATAGATGCCCTTTTTCGCTTTTTTGACATGTCTTTTTTTTGGATCTCTCAACCTACCAGGACGCTCCGTTCGTGGTGTCTATTTATAGCCCCTTCAGCTGGCTGTGATTCGGGGTGTCCATTATTCACCACCCAACTCCTGGGGGGGGTCCTAGTAGGGTCGACCCTTCAAGGTGAGGCCTTTCCCCCCCCGAGTGCCACGACCGCGCCACGACCGCGCCACCTCCGAGCCGCCGAGGTCAAGCACTGGTCGGCGGTCTCCAACGCTGCTCGGCGTCGGGTCGCGACGGGTCGGGTCGGTCGGTTGAAGGCACCGGGCTTTGCAACAGGGAGGCACCGAGCTTGGCAGGCAGGTTCGCAGACTCACCAAGTATACAGTGTTGGATGGTCAAGTTCTCGAACTCAAGCTTGGGGGAGGTCAATATGATCTGCATTCCAAGGTCCAATTCTGTCAAAAGAACCGACCGAAGGCAAGGGAAACCGTAGGAATGCCTGGTCGGAACATGGAACATGGAGCCTAGTCAGGGCATCTAGTCTTTATATACCCTAGGCTTCCAACAACCATTATTTTAATAGGCTTTACCGAATCAACTAAGGATTTTTCATTTCAAAAAGAAGGTCAACCATTTTTATAATGGTCTTGGAAGTCTAGGGTATATAGCCTTCATCCTAACCTTCCAAGACTATTAAACAATCGATTGACCTGGTTAGTCACGGTTAGTTTAAAAACCCTTAGTAAGACAATATGGTCATAAGTTAATAAGACAATGGTTTTTTGGTAACGATTATCTTTCTTATATTGACATCAATGTTTAGACAGAGATCTTCAAGGTTCAGCTCCGAGTTGCTTTCTTCTTGACGTCATTGTCCAGTTCGTGATATCGTTGGTCCTCTTTGGGAAGACGTCCCAATGTCATTCCCACCGTTCGCACCGTTCGTCCAGTTCGACGATCACCACCGAAGTGTTCAAGGACATTCGTGGACGTTCTCACCGTGCGCTCAGACGAATGTTCGTGCCGTCGTCGTCTACTCGGAACGTGTGAATGGCCGGGTGGTCGTTCTGAGCAGAGCTCCGGATCGAGGACAAGACCACTGGCCTTGACATCGACCTCAGTAGTCCTGTGGGAAGCCCCACCTGCAGCCCCACCAGCACGCTGCGGCCGCGCGATGCTCCGCGGGGGGCCCGGCCATGTTCTGGGCACACCCAGGCGGCGCGACCGGAGCCGCAAAGATCGAAGCATTTGGACTCGAAGAGTGAAGGGCAGCTCGTTTTTGGAAAGTGCGGTGCATGGCTGAAAGTATGGAAAAACCAACTGTATATCATCTCCACATTAGCAGATCCAATAGATCATTACTGATTGATATGCTGATTAAAGAACAATACCAAAGAACTCAAAGTCCTTAACACATCCCAACACGTCCCACCCCCCTTGGGTTTCTCTATGTTTCTCTCATCTTTCTCAACTTCCAAAGTCATGCACGTCTCAAAAGTCATGCCGCCCGCTGC